GATGCTGGAATAACTATTCTGCCTCCATACAGCAATAGTCCTTTCTGAACTGTGAGCTCACCTGAGAAGGGAAGGTATGGTTGAAATGCTCAGCCAATAGAGTGCTTATCTGGCCATCCTTCTTTACAAAACAGTTTTATTTGCTGGAGAATGGGATCTTTRTCTTGGTGATCTTGAATTTCTTCCAGTCTCTTATCTGCAGCAGGCAAGCTTGCARTGACTGAATTTACATACAGTTTTATTTCCTCTTCAAACTGTTTTTCTCCCATCTTGCTGACAGGAGCTCTGGAAAGAACATCTGCAGTYGCCATCTCCTTACCTGGTACATGAGAGATAGAGAAGGAGAACCTCATAAGTCTCATACGCAACTGTTGAATGCGTGGAGGTAATTCATCCAAMCTTTTYGAGCCAAGCAGTGGGACTAAAGGTTTATGATCAGTCTCAATGTGGAAACKTTTCCCAATCAGAAACTCAGAAAATCTCTCACAGGCTCAGGTTATAGCAAGTGCTTCTTTTTCAATTTATGCATATCACTGCTCCATACTGCTGAGAGATCTTGAGGCGTATGCTATAGGTTTCCATTTCATGTCAGCTTGTTGCTGAAGAAGTACAGCATTGATCCCATGTGAAGAAGAGTCAGCAGAGACAAGTGTGTCAGCTTTAGGGTCATATAAAGCCAGCCCTGAGGGTGTGGTCAGGTCTGCTTTAATACTGTTGAAAGCCTCCTGCTGTAGGGGTCCCCAAGACCACAAATTGGACTTCCTCAGTAAATCTCTGAGGGGATGTGTCTTCTCTGACAGATRGGGCAAGAACTTTCCAAGGTGATTTGTCATTCCTAGAAAGCRTCTGACCTCGCTCACATTTGTTGTCTCTGTCATTTCTTTAATGGCRTTCACWTTTTCAGGGTCTGGATGAAYGCCTGATGCTTCARTAAWCTGTCCCAGGAATTTAAYCCTGTTCTTTGAGAACTCACACTTCTCATTGAGAGTGAGGAGGTTTCTTTTTCTGCCAGTGAACCCAGGAAGGCAACATCTTCGTTTGCATTATCAGTCACTGTGGCTACATTCACTTCAAACAGTCTTTTTGTTCTACACATCCGTGCAAAATGTCCCCACTTTCTGCAGTGATGACATATTGCCTCTCTAGCAGAACTTTAGCTCAGATTGTGTCTGTTTGGATCTCCACACCTTGTGCAGTGATATAATCTCTCCTGTAACTTTGCCCCACTTGTTTCTTCTGGGCGCCGCCATGTTGATGCGCATACATTTTATCCAGCTGCACATTGGATAAGTCGGTTTTAAAATTGTTATTTAGCATTTCCTGCTGTCTTCTAAACTGTTCAGTTTGTCTGGCACGATTAATGGCCTTTTCCAAAGTCAGATCAGGGTCCATTTGCAGCTGCTYRGATAAACGTTTGTCTTTTAAGCCAACAACAAATCTGTCTCTTACCATTTCATCATGCAGAGCTCCAAAATTCTGCGAGACATTGCAGCGCCATATGAAAGTTGTCCACTGTCTCTCCCATTTCTTGCTGTCTTTGGCTGAATTTAGCTCGCTCAAATATTATGTTCCTGCGAGTAACAAAGTGAGCATCCAACCTTGTCCTCACAGTGTCATAATCCTTAGCTTCCTCTGAGCYAAGATGAAATGAGACAATAATGTCCTCAGCCRCRTCCCCCATCGTATAAATTAAGGMATTTACTTGATTCTCRTCTGCTTGTCTCCAAGCCTGAAGCGATGCKGAATCTTTCAAACCTTTTAATCCACTTCAGCCAGTCCTCCGACCTGAATGTGAACTTTTCTGGTGGTGAAACTTGAAAGTGGCTCATTTTGCCTCGTCACTCCTTGCATCATTTTGTTTCCTCCAGACGACGTCAGCAGCAGTCCAGTCGACGTTCTGCCTTCATCTCCAGGAACTATTTCTTCAATGCTTCTGACACCATGTTCTGTTAGGTCTCTTTACCTACAGCRTTAGATTTGTTTGACAATGACACGCAGAGAAGAATGTTTGTTTAACCAGACTTCCTGGGTTCCACTTTATTAAGTCCCCACAGCAACAACACCCATTATAAAGGTTCCTACGCCCCCATACGTCACATACCACCACAAGTTCAATTTCTGAGTGTACAATCCAAGTGAAAATTTTCCACTAACTATATGTTTTTTAGCTCACTGTTCTTACATTTTGCTCATTTTTCCTAAATGTTCAATTTGAATGTTAAATGTTGTGTCTAAATATAAAATTCCAAACCTAAATATAAAAGATAAACCTTAAATGTTGCAGYTAAATAATAAAGTTTACATTAAAGTATTTCAGAATGGAACGCAGCCTTTGTTGTTGGTACGTGGCTTTTCTGGTGATGTCATCATCCTGCGACAAAAGCAAGTGCTAATGCAGCTAACACTGCTGATGCTACTAATGCTACTTAAGGTGGCCTTTAAAACCTAAAATATGTTAATTGAAAACAATATGGATGGTACCTGTCTGGCAGTTTGAAGGGCGGCTCGGTCACCGACCGCAACTGCAAGTGAAATGAGACGGTCTTGATKTAAGTTTGCATGGCAACGCACTATCCCATTACCACAGCGATTGGTTTCATATCTGACTTAAAATGCGTTGGGACGTGTATTCACATGTCTTTTCACTGGAAGAATAACTTCACAATTAAAACATTGCATGTAAATAAATAAAAAAAGAGTAATAATTCAAGTTTAGCTCCAGTATCAGTGCTTGTAGCCACATTTTATTTGAYATCTTATTGCATCATAAAGTTTATCAGCTAAGTTGCTAAACTTACATTTACAAACAAATTCTTTGGTCCGTGATGAATTTGCAAACTATTCTGACTTTGTAAAAAAAAATAAAAATAAAAACTCCGCCGTTGTTTCTCTGTTTAGTTTGCTGTCGGTGCACTGAATCCTGGTATATCCTCGGCCGGGAAGGAAATCGGATGCATCCTTGATTTTAGAGATTTTGTGGGCCACATGAGGAGGAGCCTTCGAATTGGGACAGCACTTTGCGCGGGGGAGTGATGTATGCGGCCGACAAATATGCACTCAGAGGATGCAGCCCATAAATTSAGACACAGCCTGTATTCCATTCCAAATTACTTTAATGTTGACTGCAACATTTGCATTTAACTTTTACATTTAGATTTACACATTTATATTTAGAATTCAACATTTAACTTTATTTGAAAATTAGCTGAGTTAGAGGTGGGTTTTTTTTTTGTTTTGTTTTGTTTTTGTTTTGTTTTTTGTCTTCTAAGGTGGCAGCCATCTTGAATTCCACTGATTTTCAGAAGTTTATCAGTTGTAKAGGTGCATCTAATGGTTATTTCTTGATCCAGTGGTTCAAAAACAGAAAGTGTAATAAATGCACATGTCAGGCTCCCACAGTGTAGGAGGTGATTGGTGGGGTGCAGATCTGCACTGAGAGGCGCTCAGAGGTTAAACTGGCAGACACCCGTGTCTCCCCCAACATAATGACTCCCAGCTGGGCTCCTCTCAGTGTTTACTTTAAAACTTCGCTGTGGACTCCGTCCCTCACCGACTGGTCTTACTGGAAACTTCAGACATCCAGATCTTTCTCTTCACTCCATCTCAGTTTGTCCGCTCGTCTCTTTTCTTCAACTCTCTCTCTCTCCCTCTCTCTCTCTCTCTGCATCTCATTTTCTCCAACCCACCCACACACTCGCTCCATCCTTGCCTATTTTCTTCCTCCTCTCTCTTTTTCTACATTTTTTATCCTCATTTACCCAGATCCCAGGRAAGTAATACACATCTGATTTAAAARCTAGTTCTCAAAAAAAAAGTACATTTCCCCCCAACCCAAGCACTTTTTCTGCAGCCAGGAAGCAGAGGACGTGTAGGGAGTCATGGGAGATTAGACAATCTGAATTATTCTGTTGTCTCCTTCAATTTCAGGGCAAGCTGCCCGGATCTTTACCCTAAAGTATTAGATGTTTGAAGCAATTTTATTTTTCCGGTTGTTATTTTTCTTTTCAGCAAATCGCTTTGTTGGGTGGGTGAGCTCAGTTTAAAGCTTGTTGAGAAACAGATAAAATCATTGATAAATTAGTAAAAAAAAAAAAAAAAAAGGCTGAAACATGTTATCAACAGCCATCATCACCTTTTGTCTTTGTCTCTCACCTTGGCCACATGCTCCGGATGTATTTTTAGTCTGCACAAGCTGGACTCACGCACACAGTTTAGTTACATAACATGATTTGGGATCTGTTCTGAGCAACAACAAAAAAAAGGGAAGAAAGAAAGAAAGCTTGTGGAACTGTCATTTTCATGTGAGCTCTTGCAGGTCACCTGTTCCTTTCTGTGTTTGTATCAGCAGAGCTGGACACAAAACCTTCATCCATCTCTCTCAGCTGATTCTCTTTCTTTCTTTCTTTCTCGGGTGTGTAGGTGGTAAATGAGTGTGATCACGCCGTCGAGCTGGAGGCACAATTAAACAGCTTCTATAAATGTCTGCAGCCAAGCTGGTGGAGCTGTCAGAAATACAGTATGTTGCGAAAGAGGAGTTCAACACTGAACGAAAACACGCTGCTTATGAAATCAGGCGTCTCGTCTCAAGYGAATTACAGCACGAAATTAGAAAAATGGAGAAAGCAGCACAGAATAATCTGAATGTGATTAGGTGAACATGACTTAAATATGACTGGGTCGGATTTTATTGCTTTTACAGCATATTGAAGTGAAGCGATGCACTCTGCCCACTATAACTGGTCCAGTTCTTGTTCTTGACACCTTGAGTGGACAGTTGTCTAATTTGTTGCAGCGTATGCAACATGTTTTAGTATTGTTGGATCCCTGGTTTGTATCTGTTAATCCAGCTCTCTGCTCCCCTTTCACACCAGCTCCTYGTTTGTAATCACCACACCTGCTGGGCGGAGCAATAAATTAATRACATTACACAAATAAATCAGTATCAATAAAAAATATGTGTTAAAAGTTACCAACACATTTCTTTTTTCTCTCTCTTCWAGGAGGTTGTATCACAAGAAGAAGATGTCACTCAGCCCCAGTCCAATCCCCAGATCGACCCGTCTGAGCTCGTCCCACGGCTGTGCCACCTGGTGCGCTCTGAGACGGGCTACGGCTTCAACCTCCACAGCGATCGATCACGGCCCGGTCAGTTCATCCGCTCCCTGGACCAGGGCTCCCCTGCAGAAACTGCCGGACTCCGACCCCAGGACCGACTCATCGAGGTAGGGAGGATACGTTTAAACACGTTTTAAATTTGCAAAGCTCAGTAATCTGAAGCTGGTTGGGTTTGTGCACGACAAAAAAAAAATCTAAATGTGTTTTTCCATAATTGCGTAGAGTTGAAAGGAAAATATCAAGATGTAAGGAGATATTCTGAGTGTTGGTGTTGTTGAACAGTGAACTCTGATGCAGCAGACTGGGGGAAATGGGGAAAAAAGCAACAAAATAATTATTTATAAATGACACCGAGTTTGTCTGGTTTGTGTCAGAGATAAGGATAATTGACAGCATGTGAGAAACTTCCCACAAGAGAAGCAATTTAACCCTTCACCTCATGCACGGTTTCCTTTTTTTCTTTTAGTTTTGTGTCCTGGTGCTGCATCACTCTGTGCTTTCTCTTCCAGTTTTGCACATGTGGCATAATTTCCACACAGCTTTCCATTTTATCTCCTGTGAATAAATAACATTTTACTGGAACACTGGCACGCAGCGTCGTCCAAGGCTGCTCTTTTTTTTCCAWAACTGGAAAATTCATTTGCACCATGTGTGCAAAAAGAACCAACCTTGTTTGGTTACACTTATACACTTATAATTAAATTAATGTATTAAAAGAAAAATACCAGARCAGCTTAGATCTGATGCTACAAAATAATTTGCCAAGTTTTACTACGTTTTGTGTCCCACATCTAATGAGATACAGATGTGATCCCATCTCAAGATTACTTCACACTGCACACGTCACACTTGTTTTTTAAGAAAGGAAGGAGGCTCAGCTCAAAGGAGAGGAGTTTATGCACCATATATGAGAAATAAATGATGCACAATAAAGAAAATATCAGCAAAGAAAATATATACAAATAGAAAGAAACTAGGAGTCCCACGTCCCAAATTAATGGTGCTTTATTGGATCCAAAATAAAGTTGCTTCCATCATTTTTATAAACAGTTTTTTTCTTTTTTTAATATGAGGGTAAACACACAGTAGTCACACATCTTTCCCAGGATCTTTGGCTTCCTTGGTGTATGTCAGGGTCGAGGCAGGAAAAACTGAGAGTCTGATTTTCTGTCAAGATCATTTTGAGATCAAAAGCTGCAAAATTAAGSACAAAAAGTAAGGAAATTTGCCTTTGGTAGATTATTTTTTTTAGTGGAACAATGCTTCCTGGCAAAATCTGTTAACTTCCCTGTTAAATGGTTTTAAATTTGTAAGGAACATGCATTTGTGAGATGAGCAGTAGAGCTGAGTATGTAGGTTGCCTGGTATAAGATTAAGTTTATATACTGCATATCCAGATAATTTTGCATGTTTCAGCAGGTAATTTTTAAAATATATTGTTTTTTTTTCTCCATGATAGATATTTGTCTAGTTTTGTGGCCATTTGCTGATACAAACACTAAAAGAGCTGCAAATGTTTTCTATTTGAAAAGGAATCAAGTTAAGAACTTCTCTATTTAATTCCACCAGTTGATGTCCATCCATAACCACGCTCTAATCAATTTGTATAGAGACGTACAAAGAGTATTTTGAGTCAGTTTGGGGTAGAATATTAATCACATTAAAGCCTTGGTATTAGAGGGAACTGATGCTCTGAAGCTCCGCCGGTGAGAATCTGTGGGAAYATCCTGTAAAAGGTCACTGATGGCACCAAATGTCCTCCACTTCCCTGATAGGTTTCCATTTAGGAATAACACCAAACAGTCGTTTCGTTTCATCTGAGCTGTCAGCTGATCCTCTTTCATTTGTGAGAAAAAGTTTCTGACATATTACTTTTATCTCTGATCTCTTCAGACATCTTTTCTTCTCAAAACAAACCGATCCAACAAATAAAGCTATATCTGGAGTTTATTAGCCACATTTGGACCAAAAATTCTATAGCAATAATGTGTGTGTGTGTGTGTGTGTGTGTGTGTGTGTGTGTGCGCCCTGTTAATTACAGTAGTCTAATCATAAACGTGCTCGTGTTGTCTGTCAGCAGCTTGTTAGAGAGGTGAACAGCCATGAAGAGCTCTCTCCCCCCACGGCTCATTACGCTGGAGATGTATCAGCAGCTAGCGTAGTAAAGGCCAACATGATGGCTCAACTTTCTGCCCTGTGTTCAGTGAACGCCTCGCTGGTCTCTGCCGTGGCTGCATTCAGCCGAGTGTGCTCTGAGAACTTGAGTGGGACAACAGAAAACTCACACAGACRTGAAGTTTAGAGGTTGATGTCACAATAGCTCTCGTTTCAGCACCACTGTGAGTTTATACCTGCCTGTCATCACTTCTGTCTCAGTTTTTCCCAGACGAATCTTTGTTAAACTTTCTCAAGCTGGTTTTAGTTCTCAGCAGTGGAAATAAAACCTAATAATAATTATAAACTTGTATTTGAAGCTCWCCACTTTGCCTAAAACTACAACTCCAAATAAAAAACAGCAACCCCACAGCATGATGCTGCCTCCACCTTGCTGCAGCGTGGGAACACTGTTGTTTTTTTCATCCCCAGTCTTGTTCCTGTTAGCCTGAAAGCCTCTGCCACATGCAGGAGACRAGAAAGAACAAAACAAGTGAAGGACAACTGCAGCCTTTCCATGACTAAACATCCACAGAGGAGATAGCAACGAAGGGGTGGGTTTAGGGGTAAATGATTTATTTTTTAAGTAGATCGAACTGAATCAGTTGGGGTTGAGAGTGTTTAAAAGTCCAGTTGTTGATGCAATGATGCCATACTTGCAAATGAAGACCAGTTTTCAGCTCTGTAACAGGGGGGGCTTCTGAGTGAATGGTAAACTTTACAAAATAAATATTTATGTCTAATAACTGAACTGGTTTCCTGCTTTAATTCAGGCTTTCACTTTGAACACATTTCTAAAGTTGTACTGTGGGAACAGTCTTGTTCCTGATACAAACTTTGGAAATGTGGTTAAAGACATCCACTTTGGTTCATCCAACCAGAACACAGTTTTCCAGACAACTTGAAGACATTTGATTGATTTGGATTGACTGATTCTTCCCTATTTACCTGAGCCTTTTRTAAGAAAGGTCTGCTCTACCACACACATATGGAGACACAGGAGAGTGTGATCACATTCACTGATTCGTTTTTTTATTAATTTATTCATCAGTTTTGAAAAGAAGTCCAGTTTTTGCTAACGTCACAGTTGTTCCACATTTTTCCCACTTCTTAGTGACTATATTCACAGTGTTTCAGTGGAAATGAATCCTGGTGATTTATTGGTACCCATCTCCTGATTGATGGAGCTCTATGTGAACCTTGGATTTTGCTGTAGCTAAAACAGCTGAAACTAAAATCCTGCCGGCTGTGGCAGCTGAGCTTTAWATCCTGTTGATCAGTCACCCAAACAGACCAAAGGCTGTGATTAAATAATAAAGTGCTTCAACACATCATTAGTTTAGGGATGTGCGCAGTTATGAAATCAGCATGTTTCATYTTTTTAGTTTATAACCTGGCTACACTTTTACATTTTAAATTAAGGATTACAAGCTGAAATGTTCCAGTAAAAGTGGATAACCTTTTAAAATGATTTCATATTTTACATAAAAAGCCTCTTTTTTTTTTCAGGGAAAGACTCTTTGTATTTACTGAACATTTCATCAAGTACTAATAAGTACAATCTTGACTTTTCTTGTTGTGCCACTTTTGCTATACTTTGTTTATCATTTCAGAGAATAATATTGTACTATATATACTTTTATAAAGAAGAAGATACCTTTCAGGTGCACAGGATCTCTGTGCAGTCACACACTCAGTATCAGGAGGTTTAGAAGAATAGCCTCATGGGAAATGAGTCTGTCCTCAGCTCCTACAGCAGGTATTAATTAACTTAGTGAGAAGAGAACAGTGAATTATTCTGTGTGGTTGGWTTGTTAATGAAGTCTGTGAACCGAGACACACCTGTTGTTGGCCAAATACAAAGATATTTGTTCTCACTGTGATAAACTCATGATGGGATAAAACAGATGGAGTGGTTCACATATATTATTTGATGATGTTCTTTCATTTCTGCACCGCTCATTGTCGTCTTCTCTCCTCTCCCCGAGTTTCCCTTCAGTTTCCTTTTTCCACCTGAAGAAGCCACAGGGTCGGACTCACAGCGTCTGTTTGTTCGCACCAATTTGTCTCGCCTTGCTCTGCTAAAAGTGAAAGCCAAAGCAAACTATTCTCCCTTTTCTATTTCTTTGTTTGTCTTTTCTCCTCCGCCTCGTCCTGAGCGGTGAATTTTAAACAAATTCTCCATCAGCACACAGATACCTGAAACCCGTGGCACAGCCGGAGCCCAGGAGAGCCATCAATAATTGATTGTGCACCAACGCTAACTTTGGTGCGACGCTACGCTCTGAAACGTAGTTGTTGAAACACGGCGAACAGATAAGAGCAGGCAGCAGCAGACGGCTGTTTGAATAACTGTGGGCCGAGGTCAGAAAGCTGTCAACATTAGCCTGTTCAAATCGTATTTGAACTTTACGTTGCACTATCACCCGCATGTACAGTTTTCTGAAACTTTTTTTTGTAGAAAAAAATCATTAATCACTTATGACTTAAAAAAATGGAACAAATTGTAAAAACTGCATTCTCTCTAAAAAAAACATGTGGCCTATTAGAAAATATTTTGTTGATGCCTGACTCCCCCTAGTGGTTGAATGAGGGGACACATGTGCTCTTTGTAGAATATTGTCTTTATTGTCTAGTTTACATGGACATTTGTATACATTGAATTGTCAGGCAGGTTGTTTGCTTTATATATACATGTTTATTTAGAGCTTTTGTTCTTCCATTCATACTAAACTATAACAAACACTCTCCAGAGGGCACAATATACATCTGAAGCTGATCTGTGAAATTCAGTGTGACATTAATGCACCACTACTTGCTCACACAGAGAATGTTTGTTCTGCTCTGCAGGTGAATGGTGTGAACATTGAGGGCATGAAGCATTCGGARGTCGTGGCCTTCATAAAGAAAGGAGGGGACCAGACGTGGCTGTTGGTTGTGGATCCCGACACGGACGAACACTTTAAAAAGAGCGGAGTGGTTCCTACAATCAGCCATGTCAAAGGTGGGACTTCACTCTTTTATCCTTTTTAGATTAAGGTGGCAGGAATTTTAAAGGRGACATGTGTAAAATCCAATTGTTTTGATGTTAAATGCATTTTTGTTGTGTACTTGGAGTCTCTAGGAGTGTAGAAAAGTTTAATKTAGTCTCCCAGTTCGGCTTAGAAATCTTTATATGCTGTTTGAGTCATATTTTTCAGTTTTYGCTATTTTCTATGATGTTTACAGAATTATTATGTCAAATTATTTGCGGCAGAACTTTACTACAATTACATCATCGTCATTCTCCACTGACTCTGGGTCAGACTCTCGCTCCAACATGTAAGGCTGGATGGACAAGTCTTCTGTTGTTGACATCTTTTAATTCATTTGTTAATAAAACGTTTCTATCAAACTRGAATGGATGCAGGGTTTAAAGAGACAGCCTCAAAACGAGTTGATCTGAGACACACCTCAAAAAAGGGGTGAAAGAGGGGCTTGTGGAGTTACAATAAGGAGGAATTCAGACYGAAGCCTTGCAGTTCCATTTTATAAAGACCCCCAACTGAAGTGTTTAAATGTGAAAAACAAAGATTTAAAAGCATGATGTGTCCACTTTAATGTAAATATTTGCTGTCAAAATGATTGATAAGTCTTTCTTTTATGACAATAATCATCAAGTAGAGGCTTGAGGACTACATTCGGCTCAGGAAGCATATTCTATTCATGCAACAAAGAGTTTATATATTAAAACCTTGSATTACTTGAAGGAATGACTAGCACTTCTGCCATTAATACCAGTGTTAAGACTCATTATATTCAGAAATAAAAGTTTCTCAGACCTTAAAAATGTGTTTTGCATGAATTTACTCCTAACAAAATCTTGCGCTACTCACCAGTGTTCAGAGTGGGTGCCGGTGGATGACTGTCAGCGACTACTATTGTATCAAATTGGACTGAGTTATATTTATTTTTGTGATTTACAATTGTTTGTCCAGTTGTCCAGACTTCTCTATAAAAATGTAATGAATAAAACTGTTAAACAAATGATCCAATTTACATATTGCTGTCTGTGAACTATTTATTTTCCCAGATTACGATGGTCCACCCATATCCAACGGCTCCCACAGCACTCAGGTCAACGGCAGCTCCACCACCCAGTCCATCAGGTCCACTCACTCTGACCTCAGCAGTCAGGGCAACAGCACGCAGGTGGGTGTGACGATTCGTGCACGTTTGGTCATCTACATCAAAGCCCACAATCCTTTAATCTGCCTCACATTTCCATTTCCAATTGTCCGTGTTTTTTACACTCCAGCTGGCAGATGACGAGGGCAGCCGGCTCTTGGACCCGTTCGCAGAGATAGGTTTGAGGTTGGCCGCCACAGCGGCGGAGGAAAAGTTGAAAGTCCACTCCAAGGAAAAGAAGAAGGCCCCGCAGATGGATTGGATAAAGAAATATGAGCTCTTCAGTAATTTCTAGGACGTTCCTCTCCAGAGACACTTCAGAGACCAAACGATGGCGCTCCGTGCAGCATTCTGGGCGGACAGGAACCAAGACTAACTGGTGTTAAACGTGGCGAGAAAATAAAAGTTGTCCAAAGGATTTTATCCTGTTTCAGACGCCCTTTAACAGTTACTCTTCTGTCGACACGAGCAAAGAGCTGAATGTTTGCAACAACTGTTTCATTTGCAGATAAGAGTATTTACAAAAAGACTGATATCAACTCTACATTAATTCTTCTTACTCAGAAAGACTAACTATAGCAGCTATTTTTGTATTTAAATCTTATAAACAGCTCTAAATAAGTAGTAGTATCCCACCATCATGGACTGTCTTCAGGAGTAGACACTGTGACGTTAATGACTGTGGACATCGAATTTTCTCTGAATCAGTCTGAGGACATCTGAAACTGGCTGAAGATCACTGTGAACGAGTGGAGGCTCTCCACTTCCACCCTGTGCAGTCACTTTGATAAGTGTTTTAACCAAACTCTCATTCAGGAGCTGAACCACTGTGGATCAAACCAGTTTTATATCTTGTAGGTCTAAAATCTCATTTTTTACAGAAGGACATTGTGCACAAATTTGCACAACAGAATGTTGTGAACACAAACTTTTTGTGTTGAAAAGGGACAAAAAGCAACAAAAGAAATGAGGTCTAAGCATTAATGCATATTGAAATGAGGGATGGGTTCAAGGCTTCATGTCTTCATTCATCTTATAAAACTGCCTCCCGACCCCCAAAAAATAAAAGAAACTTATATGAGGTCAAGAAAGAAAGATTCAACAATAAATTATAAGCGGTGTTATRAAGATGTTTTAGACCTTTTAAAGTGGGGGTTTCTGTGAAAAGATTATAAACTTTTAAACTAACGGCTAGTCCAAACACAACAAAGAGGGCGGACGCTGTCGCAAACATTTCTCTGCAGTTCTTGCAAACACTGTTTCATAGGATCTTATGCAAATTCACATCAAACTGTTATTTACACAGAATTATTCAGTTATATGTTAGCACAAGTAGCAGCAGATGCAGATGCTGCAAGTCCTCTGCAAACCAGCATACTTCAAAACTTCATTTTCAAAACTTGCAATATAGCTAAATTCATTTTCAAACCAATGGATTTAATTTCACTTTATGCAAATTCAGATTCATTCTGAGCTATTCAAATTCAGTTTCTGATGGCACAAGTTTCTTCCCATRAGTACACAACAAAATGTRTTTAACTGCTAAATGCTTTTGCATGGTTTGTCCCCCTTAAATATGTTTGCATGAACTTTAAAGAAATRTTGAAGACCTTTTAATACAGATATTTTAGAAGTAGGTCAACTCAGACCAAACTGATGAATAGCTATGCAGGGCTAAGACCAAAGGGGATTTTTCTTGTCTTATATGGATGGTTTAGTCATTTTTGAAGTAATGTTCTGTGATTGAGAACAAGCTATGAAAAGAAAAAAGTGGCTATACAGATTGGTCTTCATTTTTTATATGCTTCAGGACTCATACACTAGCATAATAACACAGTAAAACAGTGACCCACTGCAAAACTATCAAGGTTTAACTTAGTTACGCTAGTTTTCTATCACATMAGCATGATGTTTTTTTTAAAGAGATTCATTTTATTTCCATAAAAGTTGCTGTAATGGGTCGTTCAAACATCTATCTACAACAGGTAAGATATTGATTGTTCATAGCTTTTTCATAGAACCCCAGTTTAAAAGCCTTGATGTGAATTTTTGATTCGGTTTGAAATATGAAGGCATGTTGTGTTTTTCTAAGAAGATATGGAAGGAAAACTGATACCCTGGCCAAGTAGCCTACCATTAAAATGTCAGTATTAATTATATTTATTTTGTATTAGATTCATTTAACAGCGCAGAATGTTAAAAGAGAACATCGTATTCTTTGTCACTAAATAACTGGAAGGAATTTCATGGTAATATCTCAGAATATGTTATCAGAATAAGTGTTTAGTCTTGCTTTATGGAATGTGAAACAAAACAGGACAAACTGGTGGGAGAAACCATATTTGGGAAGTAAATACGACATAAATCTTAGTGTTTACAGCTTTATTTTAAGAAACAAGAGCCAGCGTTTGAAGTTTTTGAAMTCTAAATGTCCTGTGGGATGTGGCCAGATCTGTTGCAGTTTTGTGCAGCAGTTTGTTGGGTGGAGGGTGAGGTGGAGAAGCTCACAGAGGACAGCGATGAAGAGGAGAAGCTTGGGAAAGACAGAGGGAGCCGTGGAGATTACTGAGGATTTTTAAGAACGCGGGAGCAGCTGTTGTACACATGCTCACACGCATGTTTGTATGTGGAGAAGGTATGCAGTACATGCCACAATCCAAAGAATGTTGATGTTATTGCATTGCCRTCATTTGTACCCTCTCAGCAAAACAAACTGTCACATGTGGAACAGCAGGTTGCTTTTTTCAATAAAGTGTGACAATGGCGTTGAATTAAATATCGTCTTTCCCACCTGTCCTGCTGGATCATATTTCATTTTGTCTGGTTCTGCTCTGGCTTTCATTCCTTCTCTTTATTGGTTGTTTTTGTTCCCTTTTTCCTTCATTTGTTCCCGTTTCCTCTTTTTTATTTTTTCCACTCAGCACCCTTTTTGTCYCCCTCTGGTCGAGGATTATGTTGGCATAAAGTTTCAGGTTCAGTCTGTTCTCAGAGTTCTGCACCAACCAGCTGCTGGGAGCTTTGGGACACATAGAGGTTAAACAGGAGTTAAAAGTGTGTTTGTGAGAAAGACTGAGGAGGAGTTTGTCTGTCCTTTGTGTGTGTGCATGTGTGTGTTGCTTTTGTATGCAGAAGGTTGGCTACAGTTTTGTTGTAGTTCTATTTTTTTATATTTTATTTAATACATATTTTTTATGAGAAATTCAAAACAGTGCAGCAAGTTTATATATATATATATATA